AGATGTGTATAAGAGACTGCCTTTATACTACATAGATAGGAAAAATGTTGACGTTTACGCCACTATATTTAGTTTTGCAATATTCCAATTAGTTTCGCTACTATAACAGTTTTACGCCGTGTCGGAAGTGTGTCCCGAGTTGCCCCGCCAGTCCCGAGTTGCCCCGCCAGGCCCGAGTTGCCCCGGGTGACGGTATATATCTGAAATTCTTTACGCAAAAACTAGAGCATGCACATATATGCGGATTTCTGCAATAGTCAAGCCTTTTCAAGCTTTCAGCAGCTACAAAATGAGGAAAGAAATAGTTAAAGCCAAATGATTTTTTTATCCAGATGCTCCCCTTAAATTGCATAGAAATTCATATTAATTTAATAAAAATTGGCATTAATAAATAGTATAGCCAGATAGGTATAACCATCAAACAGGGTAATAAGGGACGGGCGGGGTAGTAAGGGACAGTCCTCCAACATTTTGAAGAAATGTTGCTAAACCTATTAAAATATTGCAAAACTAAAAGTAGTAGTGCAAAGTTCAACATTTTTACTATCTATGCAGCATAAAGCAAGTTAAGAAATCAAACATTTATTACCTCTAAAAAAATCCCTGAAAAAGGTGTGTAAAGTGAGATTTTGGAAAATTACCTCTGCTAAGGTCTGTAGCAGAAGAAATATTTGTTGTATTGAAAAATTTTACTTGCATAAAAGTTGCAAACTGGTGCTGGCTTAAAAAATGTGATCAACAGAATTTGCATATCTCATTCCCAGAAAAAAAATGGCAGCCATCTCTGCAAAATGGGGTAAAAAGGGAGACCTCTAAAATTGCATTTTCAGTAGAACTTTGGTTAGCAAAGGCTCCAGTTAATGAAAAAATCAATTAACAATAAAGAATTGTGATTACATTTACCTTGCTCAGTGAAAAAAATTTCTCGTAACAAAAAATTACTGCATCAGTCATCACAAAATTGTGCATAGAATGTCATAGATAGAATTGAGCACTGGGCAACAAAGAATGAAAAGTAATTAACCTAAACTATGATTTATTTCTCCAAAAATATGATGGTTGTCACTAAAATATTCCTTCCTGTTTCAGGTATGTTTTTTTTACAATCTTTTTTATTATTGTGAAATCACTTGACTCAATTAAAATTGTGCAAAATTACAAGCCATCCTGTAAGCTTACAGATACAGAAAAAATGCTACATGGCTGCTGATTTCAAGCTTGCAGTGGACAAGGAAAAATTTTACTTACATAAAAATTACACACAGGTGTTGGCTGAAAAACATGATTGACAGAATTTGTATAGCTCATTTTAAAAATTTTGGCAGCCAATTCCGCATGATGGGGTAATAAGGGACACCCACCTGGGGGAATAAGGGACACCCCTAAAAACGCATTTACAGTAGAACCTTGGTTAGCAAAGGCTCCAGTTAACAAAAAATTCAATAACAACAAAGAATTTTTATTGAATGTACCTGATTCAATGAAAAAAATTCACTTGAACAAAAATTAATGCATCATCGGTCAACACAAAATTGTGCATAGAATGTAATGGATAGAATTGTGCATCAGGCAACATAGAATGAAAACTAGTTCACCGAAACTATGATTTATTTCTTCAAAAAATATGANGGCGAAAAAAATTTCACTTATCGAAAAATTGGTGCATCATCGGTCGTCACAAAATTGTACATAGAATGCTATATATATAATTGTGCACCGCCAGCACCGGGAATCATAGAATGAAAAGTAATTGACCTAAACTATGATATATTTCTCCAAAATATATGATGGTTGTCACTAAAACATTCCTTTCTGTTTCAGGTATGTTTTTCACAATCTTTTTTTTATAGTAAATTTACTTGACCCAATTAGAATGGCGCATAAACAAGCGCATGGCGCATAAACGAGCACTATTGTGCTTGCCATGTCTGTCTGTCCTGTCCGTCTGTCTGTCCGCTCATCTGTGACCTCAAGTTTTCGTCGGCGAGAAAATGCACTCTGTCACTCACTGCAGTGAGTACTAAGTTATATTTTTTATAGTAAATTCACTCAACCCAATTAAAATGGTGTGAAATTACAAGCCGTCCTGTGAGCTTACAGATACAGAAAAAATGCCATAAGGCTGCTGATATGAAGCTTGCAGTGGACAAGGTTGTTGTAAATGCTCAATGGCATGTTCATGGATATGGTAATATCACATCAATAATGCAGTAATATGGCATCAATAATAATATGGTATGGGCTGTGTTTTTGATTTTGTTTTGCAAACAAAAGCAGGGTCATAAACGATGGCCAAAGTCACTCCGGCGTTTATGACCTTATTTATGACCCTGGTGTTTATGACCCCAGCGTTTAGGACCCCATTTTTGTTTACAAAACAAAATCGAAAACTGGGCTGAAGTCACCCCAGTTGAGGGAAATTAATGTTTATGGTAATATCATCAATAAAGGAAAAACAAGTTAAATTACTGAAAATGTCATTTATTCTACCTCTACATCATCTACAATGAAAGAGGACTTCAGAGTACTGTTAGTAATGGATGAGTATACTCTGCATGCTTCAAATATTTTAAAATGAAGTTTTATTCCCAGTGTCCCGAGTAGCCCCATTCGATGGGGCTACTCGGGACACTCTTTTTTTGCTTCTGGCACCTTACGAATAGCATATGGATTTTTTTTAAGATGCCATTCGATAGCCCTCGCAAAGAGCTATAAAATGAGCCTAAATTTGTTTATGCAATGTTTCATGGTAAGAAGTTATGAATGAAAAACGTTCAAAAGTGTCCGGAGTAGCCCCGGTTGACGGTATACATTAATTACCATATTATTGATGCAATATTACCATATCCATGGACATGTCATTGAGCATTTACAACAATCTTGTCCACTGCAAGCATCATATCAGCAGCCTTATAGCATTTTTTCTGTATATTCTGTAGTTAAAATATTCTGTATATATTCTGTAGTTGAAATTACCATACTATGTAAGACTCTGTAGAGTCTGAAACATAAAGAAAAAACCTATTAGGTGGATCAAACATAAAATATTTTATATAGGTACCTATGGTAATTTTAACTTAATTTCCAAGCCAGTCAGTCAATGTTACCCCGTCATGGCTGCCATTAGCTGGTCAGAGTTCCCCCATTGGGGGGTGGTGCCCCCCATTTGTAAACAATGACACTTTCCTAAAATTTGTCATTTGCATATGTAACTAGAAGAGTTCTACTACAATGCATCAAAACCTTGAGTTATTTTACCAAAAAAAATGAAAAAACTGGAGGGGGTGCTCCAACAGGCTTTAAATAATAGCTTTTTTTTCATGGGTCACATTTTTAATTTTTTAACCTAATAGATCTGCAAACTTTTTAAATCTTTCTATTGTGTTACGTAACTTCATTATTAGGCCTTTAACAGCCATTGACAACATTTTTCTATGTCAAATAGTTTTTGAGTTTTGGGGGTTTTTGTTAAATAAACAAAAAGTGGTCAAAGTTACCCTGGGAGTCAAAATAACCCCATTTTACGGTACAATAAAAGACAACAGGCCACCATTGGCCAAAAAACATGTTTAAACACAAACATATTTACATATAAAAGAGCTAAAGCATTGCAATGAGATAGAGGTATGTGCAATTACTTGCCCGTAGAAAGCCAAAGCAATTAAGGTAATCAGTGAGCAGCAGGATTAGCAAGGCATCCAGCATGAGCAGTTACTATTACTGTAGCAAGACTTGTATTAGCCCTAGAAATCAAGTTGCTATAGGATATCATTGCTATAGGATATAGGATAGGACTAATAGCGAAATACGCTTTAGGTCTGGGTAGCCTAGCTGAGAAAAAATTAACATTCATGAGTCTTGAAGGAAAGTGTGAAAGTGAAGAAAATGTTTTGCTGGTGCTATTACAAGATTGTTGTAAAAAATATTACATGGAGTTTATAAATTGTATGTACGGTATGCTTCTAATGATTCAATAAAACTTTTTTAGTAAATTGGCCATATGGTTGTACACACTTCTATGTTTGAGGTTTTATTGTTTAAATACCACATTCCTGCATTTAGAAGGACTTCATGTGAGAGAAAACCATGGGTAATTTCAAAATTCATTAGTTTATTTTTCAATGCTTCATAACTTGTGAATAATCACTTGTCAATACAACTTCATAAAAGAGTTCTTCCCACTTGACATGAAAAGAATTGATGAGAAGCATCTCATCTTTGTCACAACAGTTACTGCAAATAAAATAATAATTACCAAATGCATCTGATGCTCTTGCCTGAAAATAAGGCTGAAAGGCATGGATTGCTTGATGTTGTTGACAGTATATTTTTACTTGGTCAAGTTAGGTTATTAATGCTGTTGGTTGTGCACTCAAACTAGTTTCAAGATCAATGGCATTTTTGGACAAGAGATATGGAAGAGATACATCAATTTCTTATGCAAACCATGTTGTGTTTCAACTTAAATATTGTTATTCAGAGATTTGTGTTGAAGTGCATAGGCTAATTTGTTCCTTACAATGCCTCCATGACTTCTAAAGAATGCAAAGATTCTCTAGACCATTCCTGCTATCTCCTTGCAACCATGCATAGCATCCCTGGAGACAGTGATGCAATATTGAATCCTTGAATGAGGTCCCTGTGTGGATTTGTCAAATGTTTCAGCATTTGTGGATTCAAGACTTTCAGACAGGTTATGAGTGAAAATAATTCAACATGTTAACTGTTAACTAATGTTATGGTAATCTATTGTTAACTAATGATGATATTTTGTTTCAGATTTAATGGCAGAGCCAAAGTTGAAATGAACAAGTCTGTGCCTCACGATTGAAAAATTACAAAAACAGGGATCCCTTACCTCTGTTCAGGTTAGTACATTACGGTACATACATTGGATTGCCTAAGAAAGCCTCATGTTATCCACAAACTTTTACTTGTATTTTATTTTTTCTATTTGTCATATACATATTGTAGGTGTGTAATGGAAACTCTTATCAAAATTGCATCAGTTCTAATGGCTATGACTTGTCTGATTTACTTCACAGAGAGACATTATTTTAAATTCTCCTAAAATTACCTTTTTCTTTTTTAATATGAAGTTTCTTGGTCATTTTTGCTGTAATTCCTGTTTTTATTAAAATTTAATAATTGTATCTTATCAAATTTGATCATTTTTAATAAAGGCCTTGAAAAATATTTTACTAGATTAATGCAGCAGAAATCTTTTGATTGTTAAATCTTTTGTGGCAGCATGAACTACAGCAACTAAGCTTTATGATTTAGAAAGATTCACTTCAAAAATCTTTCACTCACTCGACCATTACGTAAATAGGAGCAAATTTTTCAGCTTTATACCATAGATGTACCTACTTGAAATTTTTCATAACAAACAATTACCTACTAATTCTTGAGCATTGTGACTTCAAATCACAGTAAATGAATTTGTTAACATGTTGACCATGTTTACAAAATTAACGTTTAATTGGCTGCATTATTAAATTAAGAATTATTTAACTTGAATTATCAAGTGACAAACATTACTCTCCAAGAGAAGATTACTGTATTTATGTTATAAGAAATAAACAGAAATGCCGTTATCATTCTAGTGTTTGGTTACTACATTGTTTAAATACTTGTTTTTCTATTGTATATAAATTTTTTGTAAATGACGTTTCATGTCAGCAAAAGGTGTTGAATATTTTATAGGTTACATATATGATAAGCAAAGATTCAATACTGTATTCTCTACTGCATGGCAGGTGGTGTTGAGGGCAATTTACTGTGTTGATACAAGTTTCTATGTGTGATCACTTTCCTAATGAAGAGTTACAGGACCCTTATCTGGCCATTAAACTGAATATTCTCTTTCACAATTGTAAATAACTTTTGCTCTTACAGAATGTGAGCTAAAATTTTGGGAATAATTCTTTGTAAAATACGGTTGTGTCCTGAACTTTCTACTTGTCTACCAAATAAATATAAATAACCATTATAAATTTGCTGTTCAATCACCTCAATCCCAACAGCATTTAATATATTTTTCATGTTTTATTATTCATTCATGATTTATCCCCTCTTGCAGTGGTGCTCTTGAATGCATAACAAACCTGGCTCTGTTCAAAGTCATAGCTCAATGAATTGATAAAGTGTGGGTTCAAAGACTAGATTTGAGGCAGATAAAACAGTGACATTAAAGTCAATCCTTGGGAGTGAGTGAGTGACTGTCTTCTTATGCCTGTCAATTGCGAGATCTTACTTTTATACATGCTAAGATTTTAATACTTCCTTCAAAAGAGCTACTAATATATTTGGAATGGAAGTGAGAAGAGACCCAAGCTGAATAGTATCTGCAAACGCAATCCTGAGAAATTAGTCATCAGATCCAAGTTTAAGACATTATCACATTTTCCTTCTTCACAAGGCTAAGTTGAGATAATCATCATAGTTTTCACCTTCAAAACTGTGTATAACCCATGGTCAAGTCATGAGTAATTTCAATTGTTTAGTCTTAGTTACTATGAGGGTTTAGTTGCATAGGTAATTGATAGGTAATTGATAGGTACCTGGTAATGGCTCCCCAAACAAAGCCCTCTACCTTTGCTGCTGGTGCACTGAAGTGTCGAGTGCGGACAAACTTCCAATTTACCCCAAAATTTACTCAAAAATAATTCTTTCCAGTAAGTTTTTCTTCCTGAGGCTTTCAGATACCGTACAAGTTTTTAAACTTATTTAAGCACTTTTTTTTCTTTGCGAATCCTTGGGAGTCTCAATAGAAATGGCACAAAAAAGCATGAAATTTTGAGAACAGCTCTAACCTGTTATCCAGACTTCAATGTAAAAGTTACTATAGTATTGGATGAAATCATTCTGCAACGTTATTGGAAGTTCTCATGGCATCAATGTTGTGTTCTTGGTTTCTTGGTAATTTTATTACACTTTCCTCAAGTTTGTCATTTGCATATGTAACTAGAAGAGTTCTACTACAATGCACCAAAACCTGGAGTTATTTGGAGTTATTTTACCAAAAAAAAATAATTGATGTTACCACCCCAAGAAGTTACCCCTTTGTTACCCCTAAGTTACCCCAAGAGCTGGGGTAACAAAGACCATCACTTTTTTTAAAATTACATAAAGACTATGAGAGGCAGGAGCCAGCAATTTATGGTGAGTGAAGCTAGAGTATAGACCTGTATTTTGGATGTTTCAATTCAAGTTTAATTTAGCTAGTAAGAAAATGGCATCATTTATAAGAAAAAAAGTGGTCTAAGTTACCCCATTTTACGGTATTATTGCTTTTAAATGAATGATTTTCTTTTTGTAGCTCTACATTGTCTTTCGTGATAATGAAATATTCAAGTGTAAATACTACCAAATAAAGTGCTTTCTTTTGAACTCCCAGTGAGAAATTCTCTGTCACACCTAATGATTTCCTTCAATATATTATAGAATAATTCAGATAGCAGTGTAGCACTGTATACATGAGACCTTATCAATTTCCCATGATTTTTTTATAACGTATCTATCCAAATAAATGTCCTTTTTTTACAGATAGCATGCTGTAAGAATTGAGCTTCAGAGCAAGTCGTCAGCACCATGGCCAGCATATTTGACCAGTACGAGTCTCAGCAAGGGTCGTACAGCAACCATGTCTCCGGCACAAATTCTTCCATGAGCTCCACATTGGCCACGTCTCTCTTCCGCAACCTCAAGCTGGAAGAAGATACGCCTATTTTCTCCAAGCAGAGGATAAACTTCTTGCCAAAACATGACATTGTCCAGTTTGTGGCTAACAACAATAGGATTGTTTTAGCTATGACAAATAATGTGTTAATTAGGATTAACTTGCTACAACCTCAAAACATTGAAGAAATTGACCTAGGAAAGTTCTGCACTCAAAGTAACCAAGTTTATAGATTATTCTTGGACGCTAGCGGCGAGCATTTGCTTGTAAGCTTATTTAAAAAACCCAAAGCTGATGAATCATCGACCATCGAAGCAATTGACTGCTTGTACATCCCCTGGGCAAGCAAAAAAATCAGTGCGATCACTAGATTAAAAGGTCACATGGTGTCTTCTGTTGCGTGGAGCCAGCGCAATGCGTCACAAACCTTGACAGGCCCCATAGTGATAGGCACCGCGGCAGGTCAGCTGCATGAGTTTGAGCTGTCACAAGAGAACTCGATGTTCCAGTCAGGAATGGAGCCGTACTGCAAGCAGCTTTACGCTCTGACCAAAGTTGAGGAAATTGATGGCGTTCAAATATTGTCCTGTCCCACGGATGATCTGGAGTATGTTATCCTCTGCTGCACCAAAACTCGCTTGTATTCATTCAGAGGAAACATTCCATCTTCCGAGAAGCGACCTTTGTTCTCTGAAATCTTTCTTCCTTATAAAGACAGAACGGACCATTACATTGAGTACCATGGATCTATACACAAACCTTGTCTTGAACTTCATTATGAACCCAACACAATGCTTGCCTTCTCTTTTGCATGGACGAATGCTTTTGGTGTGTATTATGCATCAGTGGATTGGAGCAAATCTGGCAGTGATATTTCAGATCAAAAGAAGCTGCTCAAAGTTACCCGGGATTCCGGCAGCTCAGAACTGTTATCCAAAGTCTCTGCAGGCCTCGTGTTGACGCCTTTCCATGTTTTATTGCCACACGACAATGAAGTGTCTGTTGTCAGCATCTTGAGTGAGAAAGTGCTTATGAATGACCGAATCCCCGGCGACTGCGGTGACGCGCTTGGTATGTGCCAAGACTCCGTTAAAGGCACCATCTGGCTCTACACTAAGAAAGGGATTTTCAAGTGCAAAATGGACAGAGAAGATAGAAATGTGTGGAAGGCCTATCTCGACCAAGAGAAGTTCGATATGGCACGGAAATACTGTCGTGGAGATGAATTAAAGCTGTTGCATGTGCGTATGAAGGAAGCCGAATTTTTGTTTGAGAAGGGCGACTCTGTAAGGAGTGCTCAGTTGTATGCTCACACACTAGTGCCTTTTGAACAAGTCTTCTTTAAGCTGAACAGCATCAAGGATGATTCAGGACTGCGTGTCTTCCTCTTGGAAAAGCTGGAAACTTTAGGTGAGGATGAAATAGGTCAGTATTCTTTGGTAACACTTGTGTTGCTCGAACACTACTTCAAAACGCTTGGACTTCTCCGAGACTCGGGTGAGGACACAAATCAAGAATACAAGAAAGTCAGCTCGGAGCTTGAGAATTTGCTGCAAAAGCCACGCGTCCTGAAAACTTTAGAAAGAAACAGTAACGCCGTATACCAATTGCTCAGCTGCCACGCCGATCAGAGCAATATCATTAAGATCTCAGGCTTGATCAAAGCGTACGATCGAGTTGTAAAGCACCTGATCAACACAAACCGACACATGGAGGCTTTAGAGATACTTACGAATCACTCTTCTGACGTGCTGATATTAGAGCACCTGCCAACGCTTCTCAAAACGATCCCAATCCCCACCGTCGACTTCATGATGTCTCTTGGCCACAAGCTTGATCCTGTGAAAATGATGCCTAAATTAGTGCAGGTCCACGCTTCAAAGAAAGCCACCTCGGAGATCAGAAAATACCTCGAGTACTGCATTAATGAACTCGACCGCACCGACTCTGTTCTGCATAATTTTCTCATAACAATCTATGCAACTGAATATCCGGACAAACTTCTGCCGTACCTGAAAATGCAGGGTGAAAATTTAGACAGTGTTTATTACGACACCAAGCTTGCGTTGCGCGAGTGCGTTTCGGCAAAACAGGACGTTGCCTCGGTGCATATCCTCTCCGTGATGGGGCTGTACCAGGAGGCTGTAGAACTCGCGCTCAAAACTGATTTGAATCTCGCCAAAGCTACGGCAGAAAAGCAACGCAACAACCCTCAACTCTGCAAGAAATTATGGCTTGTAATCACCAAGTATCTCGTAGAGGAGAGTCAGGATGTCACAAAGGCTCTGGCCATCATGCATGAATGTGAACTAATTAAAATCGAAGACATTCTTCCGTTTTTTCCAGATTTTGTAACTATTGATCTCTTTAAGGACGCTATTTGCGAATCGCTAAAGGAATATAACGAAGAAATAGAAATGCTTAAAGTTGAGATGAACGAAGCCTCAAAAATTGCAGACGAGATGCGATCGGACGTGCAACTTTTGAAACAAGAACACACGAGCGTGAACGCTGACGACCTTTGCCACGAGTGCCACAACTCCCTCCTCGACAGGCCGTTCTATTTGTTCCAATGTGATCACAAGTATCACCAAGACTGCCTCACCGAAGCAGTGATGGCATATCTGACTCCCTCAGAGAAGCACACCGTGCAGAAGCTGAGGTCGCGGCTCTTGGCTCTGTCTTCGGAAGAGCAGCGCGGCAGCGGCAGTAACCAAGACGCCTCAACTGAACGCGTCGAGGTACGCGCTAAACTGGACGACATCGTGGCGTTCGAGTGCCTTTATTGCGGCGAGAGAATAGTTGACTGCATCGACACGCCCTTCATTGCAGACCAAGACTGGAGAGAAGTCATGGCTGAATGGCGGTAGAGTCCTTCACTTCATTCCATGTCGCTGCTTTGTATGATCTGAGACAGTATTTTTAAGCGAATTCCTGTGATTTTGTTTTATGAATTTTGTAATCATTTGTTTTTGGTTTATAAAAGTTATTGTTCGGATGAATATCTCTTATTAGAATTATTCGCCGATATTTTTTACACCAGTTGAAGTCATCATAATAGTACTGTTATTCCAAGCATTACTTCTGTCAACCTTCGAAAATAGATTTACTGAAAATTTGATACTTCTGTTTAGTGGTACTTGTTGGTTCAGGTGATGAAACAGTTTCTTTCAACTGTCACACGTCCAACCGAAGAAGTAGCAGCTGTCAGAGCCCCAAGTGACATCTAGTAACGGAGACCTCCTGCTCATCAAAATAGGCGGCTTGTTAGATCCAATCAAGATTCGGAGGACTCTGGTTTTTGTATTTTCTAATTGCTACTTTTCAGTTATAAAATAATTATCTTTTGTCATGAGCATTGATTGAGTCATCCTCTTCTCATACTATGTTATTTGTCATTCAATGTGCACTACTATACAAATCAATCTATATTGTTATTTTATTTATTTTGTGTTGGCAATCGTCCCAGAATTGTATTCTCCTGATCGGGGTAAACCATTATGAATTTTATATCCTATTGTTATCCCGCTACTGATTTCTTTTGAGACTTAATTTATCTTATTCGAGAGTTGCATCGAAGTTCGTCTTGCCACTGTTGCAATTTGCGCCATTCATGAATTCGCTAATTCAATACTTCAATACTTTACAATACTTACAATACTTTACATGGAATGGGAAGATCATAACACGTTTGTTTTGGTTTGTAGGCGTACTAACATTATTTTTTCATCATATTTTTTCACCATATTTTTTCACTAACCATTATTTTTCAAGTGTTAGTAGATTTAAAGATACCTTTTACTGGGACAGTTTTTATGTTGAATTTTCCCCTCATATTATTATTATTTAATCAAATCTGTTTTATTAAACAACCGTGTTTGCGTGAGAGGTAGCAAGGTTGGTCTTCATGAGCAGTTTGAGTTTCCAACATCAATTGGTCATAAGAATATACCGATTCTGATCACGCATTATCGAAACACTACAGTTTCACTCAAGTCTACATAGGATTGTAAGTTGATTATCAATTGTATCTAACAAATAGTTGTGTTTGAATACTGTATATTATCTTAGTTATTTTCCTTCACTCCGTTTAATTTCTTTACTAGTCGCTACGCCGCTGACATTCCATGTTCACCTTCCCGGCCGCTGCTCCATGTGCTGGCGCTGCGGTTTATGATGTGTAGAACTTATCTCTGGATGGCTGCTATGCAAAAAAGCTTTAATCGGAAAATTTTATTTGCATTAGTTTTGATTATATTACCCCTAACCTAAAACCTATTCTGTAATTTCTGCGTAGTGTTTCTTTATAATTACTCCTACAATAGAAATGTTTCGGAGTTTTCTTACTGAGTATCGTCTTGATAATGACAATTATGACGATAATATTTTTAGTTTATAATTCCGTAAATTATGCCAAGGTGCCTGAGCTTCTCTCCCTGCCTTAGAGCCCTCAAATTGTAATAAATTCTTAATTTATTCACATGCATCAAAGTATCCTTATAATGTGGATTCAAACTCAACGACTCATGACTATTATTTCAATAATAATAATAATTTTCGTTAGATGTTCCTTTTATTTTAGCTATGTTAAAAAGTACAATACTGTCAAACATCTTCCTCGCATTTAAAGACAAACAACCCATTACAAGTTACTCAAATAATAAGACAAGCTTATCTTCATAGCTCGATTATAAATAATGATAAGTGAGGTGTGGCTGCTACAACGATGAAGTTTTTTTGTCATGAACATGGTGAATGTGGATAAATATTTGTATTATTAGCTAAATACCGGTGAAGTCACAACGCATTAAGTTCGTCTACGTTTTAATTCTCATTATTTATTGCTTATTGTATTCTAAATGTTGTGTGTGTTTTGATTATTGATTGGTTTTACTCATTTAAACTTGTATTCATTTGCAATTTATTATGAGGTAAAATATTTTGTTCAATGCTTTTTCTTCTCTTTATGCTATTAGTTTCCTCGTCAATTTGGTGGTTATTGTAGCTTCTGAGGCCGAACTCCAGGTTTCATTTCAGGCTCACTACTTCGGAAAGCCTCGTTAATGAAGCATGATGAGCAACCATTAAGCTCTGAAAACTTTTCATACATCGCTTCATGTTAGAAGTGAATTTTTGACTTTTTTCGTTTCCTCCTGTGCCGTCGACATTCGATCACCGAACTCGCTGATTGATAGATACCAAGATAGTTTCCTTGATTGCTTATCAATTGGACGAACTCTTGGAAAATGCCCCGAATTATACTTCACTACTTGAGTCCAATATGATGTCATGTTTAAAATCGTCGCTTCGTTTCCTCGAATCGAAAAATTAACATATGTCTCGATTGCAAGTCCGATTATATAATTATCATTTTCTGTTGAACTCCTGCCTTGTGCAGGTGTTCTGCAATTAGTTTCGATCATTGCAATCCTCAATAAGATCCTCAAATGTTTGCCATCACTACATTCCTTGCGGATTTAAATGCGTGTATGGATTATTCCTGCTAGTGCTAGTAGTCATTAAGAGGCGAACTTTGTTTTTGATCTACTGGCTTCCATTCAATCAATTCCAGGATTCGGTGCGAGACGCTTTTTTAATGAGTTTTGGTTTACTTATTTGGTTTCGTCAATGAATAATTTTATACAATGGTATATCAGTTAGAGGTAGTTGAGGTAAACGTTATGAAAATTTAATGAAACGAGGAGTGGATTGAATTTGAAATTTTGAATGCTTGTATTTTTGGAGTCAGGACGGATTAATTTCCCCAATAGTAAATGCCAAGCGAGAATCGATGGCTGGAACCGCGTCAAGGGAAGTGCAGCGGCAGCAGGTAGGTTGAAGCGGCTGTGTTGGCATCAGCTACGCGCCAGTTTTGCGATTCATACTGTGGAAAATTGGTTGATTTTAATGAATTGATAATAAAAGACTGAGTAAAAATCATTATGTAATTTAAAGCAGTAAATTGAAATGAGGTTATAGTAAACTAAATCTATTCACGTGAGGTTAAATGGCCACTCATGTGCGCTAACGCACTTGTGCGAAGAACCGAATTTTATGAAAAAATAAATAATCAGAAGAAGATTGATGCGTCAGACGGAAATAAAGTAAGAAAATTGGAAGATTGCTTCGTCGAAGAAAGATTAAAGTTGAAGAGATATAGCCTAAACTAAAAATCAAACTTGAGTAGGAGCCGCACCGACTGAAAGTTCAGTAATTTAGGTTGAATTTGAATAAATTAGATAACTGAAGTCTGAATCATGTTGTTAGTTGCGACCAGATTCACGCTCGCCGGGGAGAGGCTTAGGTGGTGGCCGGGATGAAGGCACCGGAAGAGGGGGGCAGGGTGGCCAGGTACGCCAGGGGTTGGCAGGGAGGCAGGGAGGGTGGCCAGGTACGCCGCTGCCTCCACGGGGTTGTCCCACAGTGAGGAGACGCTGAGAGACGTGGGGAAGGCGGGGACGCAACGCGGGAGGCGATCTCCCTGCGGAGTGAGCGCTTGGCCTCTCCATAGGCACCGGCGGGCATGATACCATTTGCCAAAAATGGTGTGACAAGGTGGCCAAACCTCGACTGGAGGGGAAGCGATGTGGAATGAGGTATGGGAGGGCGCTGGCGAGGAACTGGGCACAAGCCAGGTCCAGATGATCGGACAATGGAAGGACGCTGGTCTCCTGCGTGAAGATGAGCGATCGGGGCCATTTTGAGGCAGCCGGTGGCTAGTCTCAGTGCAGTGTTTTGTATGGTTTGAAGGCTATCTATTGCTGTGCGTGAGGCGACAGAGTACCAGTTGGGAGCCGCGTAGTTGAGGATTGGGCACGTGATGCCGGTCTAAATCATAGCACGCGATAATTAAGCATAGATTTGAGCAAACTTAATTAAACAAATATCCAACAGTCAACCGAGTGATAGATTAATCACAAAACAAGGAAGATAATCAGACTTGGGGTTGAATTTTGCTTAAGTAGCAGTGACAGACGACAGGCCGGTTGGCTGGCGATCACAAAAATGAGTGTTGCTGCGACGTCGAATCAGTGCGAACTCTTGCTAATTACGGTCCACGGAAGCCCGGACCTGGCCCAAACTACCCTAACATTAAACTTTCCATAGATTTAACTAGAACTATAATCTTATTCTAACATTTATAATCTAGCGAAACAATTTTTAAGTAATGAACAAAAAAAAGCAACGGTGGGAATTCCCACACGTCGTTGATTAGTCAAGTTATAGAATTTTTATTCGGATTTCGACTATTATATTCACAAATTTGGAACGAAATACCAAAGACGTTTATGCTATTTTTAACGTCTCGGACATATTTACGGGCGGACTTGCGGTCAATCTCCAAATTCAGTGAATAAGGAATATCTCCCAAAGTAATTAACGTAGCTCGACGAAACTTGATACACGTATTCACTAGGACCTAACGGTGATGTTCAGCTCATGATTTTTTTTTCGTCTTCATTGGTGAGCTATTTGACGATACGTACTGAAATATGCAGTGCACAAGACATTTCTTCCAAAAAATAGAACAGATTTGAACGAAATTTTGAAAATACATTCCTAAATATCCAACGGTGATGTTTAGCTCGTGAAATTGTTCGAGATTTTGCCTTCGTTTCCGAGGTTTTTTTTCAGTTTCACCCTCATTCGCGATTTAAACAGCAATACGTGCTTAAATTTGCAGTGAACAAGAAATTTCTTCTAAACTAACTACTGAATAGATTTGAATGAAACTTGTACATAAATGCCTAACCTCCTAACGATGATGTTTAGCTCGTAACAATTTTTTTCGGTTTTGCCTTCTTTTGCGAGTTATACGGCTCTGCGCATAACTACTCAGCTACAGCTCTTGGTCAATGCAAATTTAAAAATCGGCCTCAGAAATGCCGTTCGTTTCTCCGTGTATCCGAATAACTCGAGAACGAAGGCGAAATCGAAAAAAAAAACTGTCACGGGTTAACATTACCTAGGCTTAATTAAATCACACCGTTTATCGCATATGTTGCGTAGTTGTAAACAAGGACGAGGATGAGCTGCATAACGTGCACTTGTGTGAAGGATTGCTAGTGCCACAACATGTGTCCTGCCAGCAATCTTGTTAAAGATGTGTTTGTGGTCTTGTAGATGTTTGTTAAAGTTGTAGTTTGTAAATGTGTATGTTTGTTCGACCATTTTTTTTCTTTTATTATTGCTTTGCATCTTTTATTGCTCAAACAGATCGCTCAGATGCATTGCTCTCGTTCAGACGAGCATATTTGAATGCGATGTTTATAATTTTGTTTAATGTTCTAATTTTATGATCATATGAACTTATAAAAATTACGACATTTCAACCAAATAAAAAAAGTCTTCCTGAAGTAAAACTGGTTTCAGTGTTCCGAGGCGGTGAGGCCAGATTTGAACATCTGAAAGATCGCACCGACGTGGCTCGGTTTCTTCTGTGTAAAGAGTAGCTTCTTCACCCGACATGTTAATCCTGGATGGAAAAAAGAAAAATTGATGTTAGTTTCATCCTTAAATCGTTTTCCTGTTAGCTGGGAAAATTGCCAATTTGGCATTGCTGGGAAAATTGTAAATAGAATAGAATAGTACAGGGTGGGGCAGAACCGATTGAGCAGTTGGGTCGCCTACCGAAGACCACAACTGCCCTGGNGAATAATACAGGGTGGGGCAGAACCGATTGAGCAGTTGGGTCGCCTACCGAAGACCACCACTGCCCTGGGTGTAAAGGACCATCATGATTCCTGCCTTCCGGAACGTAGCCTTCAATACTTCTGGACAATCATATCTAGGCCGTGCGTCGAACAAGCCCTCGATGGAACGGCCACTCGTCGAAGGACGACAAATTTTGGAACAGGACTATGCTATCTGAAACCTTACCTCAGATGCGGTGAATGTAAAATTACGTAATTTAACGATGCCCGGAAGTCATATTCGATCCGCGGCCTGGTGGTGCACTGGCGCACGGTAGGTTTTATGCAAGGTCGGAGGAAGACAAAGCCGAGTGCTGCACGGCTGATTGGTGGATGTCCGGTGAGATCCAAGGCGTTCGATTCAGGGCTTATTGGTGCACAAAATTGGTGGTGCACGGCTGCGCTCCCGAGCAGTTTAGAGCAGTCAGTGGTCGCAGGGAAGGACGGGGATAGGCGTGCGGGTGGTTTTTTCCAGCCCCTTCGGTATTCCCATTTCAGTAGCCAATATGGTGTGGTCAGGAGAATATCGTGGCTTTGCTGTGCGCGCATATTTCGAGAACAATCAATCCGTGATTGCAACGCAAAGATGCTCTTATTGATAAATAAGCAAAGATGCTTATTCGTGATGCTCTTATTCGTGATTGCAACGCAAAGATGCTCAATATTCCACGCA